CTCTTATTTTGGTAACCACGCTGATATGTGTTTTTATAAAAGGTCAGTGTGTCAGAACTGCTCCCCCTGATGGTGAGTTCCAGAGAAGGGCAGGTTCCTGGTTTCCTGCTTCTGTGCTATGAATATTTATGGTGTGAAACTATATCATTTGGCGATGGTGTACATTGGTGTCTCTGATGGTTGAATCACCAATATCTGTGTAACTTTTACGTTTTGATTTTCAAAAAAAAAACACAAAAAAACGTTAAAGGATCAATGAATTAAATACTCTGTGAACTCGCAATTTTGTTGATGATTGAAGTTTTTGTACATCGTTTTCAAACAACACAAACCAAATATATCGGAAGCTAATGCCGAGGCTAATATATTTAGCTACATATAAGGTGAAATATGTAATATATCTACATACATGATGATGACGTGTGTTTGTTATTCTAGGACGATGTCAACGCAGATGTTTAAAGGTAGAATATTCAACATTTTTTAGGTAAGTTTGTAAACAGATTTCCTGGACTCGTATTCACAGGGTGTTACTGTAGAAATATACTGGTAACCACTGGGTGTCACCGCTGCACTTATTCACTCTGAATGCACCTGCCCTGGGTTATTGTGGCACTGAGTACAACCTCACGTGTGGAGCTGTACACCTCTGATGCAGATCACGGCTAAACTTTACAGTTCCGGCAAATTCAAAACTTTCAACCTAAAATTGTGCAAAACGACCAAAATGTTTTTTAAGACGTGTCATCAGTTCAGCCTCATCAGCTGATTCCCCCCCCCACCCCCCATCCTCATCTACTGGGCTTTAACGGCGGCTCTTCAGTAATTTCCACCAACGAACAGTCTGTTCTTATCGTGCCTCAGCTAATAACACCATACACTTCTAGTGACAAATTAAAAATGCATTGAAAGATTTCCATTTTAAAATTGCATATATGCATTTATAACAGCATAAAGTACCTGTCCCCCCCCCCCCCCCCCCCCCGCCGCAATGAAACGTTTACGTTTACTGCTTCAAAACTGCTTTTCTCAATAAACAAAATATAATAAAATTACTGCAAATATCGCGATAATTCCATTGTGGCACAAATAAAGAAATTCAACATTAATCACACTGCAAAAGATCCACACCCGTCAGGAGGCCCCCGCCCCCCAATTTGGGAACCACCGCGTTATTCAAACAAGATACGTAAATGAGATTCTATTCTCTAGATCAGTGGTCTTCAACAGGCGGCCCGCGGGCAGAATATGGCCCACCGGACCATCCAACCCGGCCCGTGTGTGGATCGCAAAATCAACATCCCTCAAACACAAGTTCTAGCCCTCTGGCAAAATAGTACCTGATACTTTACTTCACACTTTTGGATTTTCCTGTGTTTTTTTGGGTCATTCATCGATTCCTGTCTGGTGTATTTTTATACACTCACATACGCAGTAGTGAAGTACACAGTAGTGAAGTACACAGTAAGTGGTACTTCAGTGATGACACGGGTCAGTCACAGACTCAGTCGACCGACCAACCATCCAACGCTGCAGGGCCAGGAGGCTGTTGAAAATGGATCCGTCACAGGAAACAGGCGCAGAGACACGCTAACGCTGAGGGAGGAGGGGGGGGGTAGAGGGG